AAGACAACACATTAAAGTCATAACTAACATATTTAGAGTAGGATCTATTAGTGCTCTACAGACTCGTCCCAAAATAGTTTAGATGCCTTATATGAAGCAACTATTTCTTTCCATCCATGCCACAGAGGCCTACAGTAATAAGGTAAGAGGCAAGGTGTCTTCTAGGCACTTGAACTTGGTGTATGAAATCAAACCTCACCTGCTTTCCCTGTACAAGAATGCAGTTTAAATCCCTTTAAACTGAGATCAATGGGTGTACAACAGAACTGGAAGGAAAATAATTCATGCCTATTCACATTTTAGGAAAAGGTACTTCATGAAAGCTAAGAGTGACCAATTTTTGCTCTCCTTGTGCTGTGAATTAAAGTCTATTTATAGGCAAGCATAATGAACCTCTAAAGGTGTTTATTTACCCTTAGAGAGTGGTGCTCAGCAACTTTAAATAACTCTTCCACTGGAGAAATCCTAAGAGAATGGACTGAAGATTGTCCCTAAAAGCTGGTGCTATGTGCAAAGAAATATGTTAGTTTCTTGATGTTGCCACAGTTTCTATTGCAATCATGTGCTTAGGAAAAGGTAAAGACTTCAAAACAAGTCAGTGATATGCAATCCATCCTATTCATTCTTATACTTGTGGGAAAACAAAACAATTTTATTTCCCCTTCCTTTCAGCCAACTAACATTTTCAGAACCACAGTTTTCTGAGGACAGAACAGAGACTTTGCATCAGATCTTTGTGGTAGGACTTCTACCACTATTAGTTCTGTATTTGGTCTTGGTGGTGAGAGGAGGAAACCTTGGTCAACTCATAAATCTAGGTCCTTTAGTTTCTCATGGTAACAATATTTCCCTTCATTTCCTTATTTAGTTAGGGCCCTTTCCCTTCTATTCACGCCAGCTTTAAACCAAAGAATGGCTTTAATCTGTGTAGAAAGTTATCAGGAAGAGCCATCATGAACTCTTAAGTTTGTCTGCGGGGATGCAACCAGCTTACAACTATCCCCATCTAAATACTCCCCATGTATAAGGATAACCTGGCTGTTCCAAAGCTCTGTCTGAGGTTGGGCCATCCAAGCTCCCAACCTGTGTTCTAACCACTTAGTGATCAAGACAACTACTCACTAACACCCACAACTATTACATACCAGGATCATTTCAAGCATTCAGGTAAAACAACCAGCACCCTAGTGAAGTTCTCAGTCTAAGGACAGACAGCATTCACGGGAAGACAAACAACTGTCATATGAACTCAAGAGGATATAAAAAGGTTGCTAGCTGAGAAAGGATGAGAGACAGTTTGTCAGTTTAAACCTGATGTTCCTGCAAGAAAGGGAGTAGGAGTACATAGGTTTGAACAATCCTTCCTTTCAGTCCCGGTGTTAAGCAATCACACTGCAAGCAGATGTTAGCATGAAAGCAAAACCAGAATCCAGCTGAAAAAAACCTGTTAACGCCAAACATCAAAATATTTGTCTACCAAGTGACAGCACATCTAAGGTTTTATTTTGTAGTCTAGAAGCAGTGATTGCCTCTGAATTTATTCTGATGAGAAATCAACAATGCTTAAAAGCAAAGTTTCTGCAGCTGTCTATAAACTCATTTTTGTGCAGTTTTTCTTACCAGGTTAGAGACCAAGCATGTCCAGTCTATTGTCATGTCAGCTCTGAGCAAGATGTGAGAGTCCTTTAGAGGCAGGTTACCCAGACAACTAGCCTATCTGCCCATCTCCAGGATAAAACTGCTTTCTAAATTATCTCTAAGAATTATGTTCACCAATGCATCTTCCATGCAATCCTTACTTCGTTATGCTAATAAAGCCTCTTTCCCTCTGGGCATTAAGAAAAAATCAGAGACTAAGAGATTTTACTCCTTCTTAACAGCAGAACAATGCCAAATGCTTTCAAACCACAGCTTCTGGACCAGTGGCAGCTTGCATAGACTCGACTGATCACACACTGCTGGCTTTGCTTCCCATCTCCAGGCTTCGTATCATTCTGGTGTACTGACAAAAAATAGTAAGACCTAAGGTTGCCATATTTCCCTGGGAATAAGAAAGATGGCAGATTCATTTTTGAATAGTTAAGAAAGTGCCTGTGAAAAATTAGTTTGCGGCTTATACAATTCAAGGTTGAGCCCATAGAGTTTTGATGAGACAGTTACAGAGCAGCACATAAATTCTTCAGGAATCTGATGGCTTAAAAAAAGCCATCAAACCATACAAAACATACCCCCACCCCATTCTAGTCACCTCCGGGTTCTATTTTACCTTTCCTGCTGCAATAAGCATCAAATTCTGTTTCACCTGCATTTGCAAATTCAAACAACTGCTCACCACATGAACTTGTTTGTTCTCATCTTCAAGGCCCTTCAGTGCTCTTCCTCTCCTTAATTGCTCTTGTATTTACTACTTTATATCTTTCCTCTCCTATTATAGTCTCAAAGCTATTTCTATTCACCAAGCTCCACAACAAAGTTTTGTAATTTCAAAGCTTATACATGTGGCACATTTTGACACAATCTGTCATACCACTGGACTTCCTCTTTCCAATTCAGAGACCTCGCTGACATTATGGTAGATCCCAGCTAACCAAGGACTTGAAAATGGTGGAAAAGACAGTGTTTATCAAGCTTTTTAATCAAGTTAAATTAGAAAATGAGTCATAATACCAACAGGATGTTTAGCTCCATCCCTCTCCCTGCATCTCTATTTTCATAGCCCTCAAGCCTGCAGAGATTCCTCACAGCTGCATCCTACGCAGCCACACTCAAAAGCAGTAGGAAAGGCTGAGGGGATAGAGGAAGAGAGGGATATTGGATAAAGACCACCAAAGAAACAGGGCAGCTTACATGCAGTTTGATGCATTCAAGAACATTGTAAGTGGAAGAGTGAGAAAATATGTTTATGAATTTTCAGAGTTAAAATCCTTTCTTCAGTGAGATCAGGCAGTACACTGTGACTGGGTAAGCACTCAGCTCAGCATGTACAAAAATTCTGAATCATGACACTAGTTGCATAAAACTAAAAATCAGATGAAGTTCCTTCCACATTTTGCTACCATACCATTGGTTATATCCACCCGCCCCTTGTAACTCACACACTCATCTTCTAGGGGCTAAGAACTTCTTCCAGCCTCTGTAAAAATGAATGTTGCATAGCAAAGTTTGTGAGGTCCTGAATTCCTGCATCTCCTTAGTATCGTATAGTTCAGATTGATAAATACCCTGGTGAAGAGACAACAATTCATGAACTAGCACATAAGACAACCCTGTAGGTAGATGTTTTGAAGTTAATAGTAGTAAGGAAGAATTTCCAAGCTGCATGTAAAGTACTTGCAAAATAATTCAAAAAGAGTATTTGTACTTCTTGGCTGTCAAAAAAAGTACTTCACAGAGTTACAGCTTTAGCCACATAACTTAAATATTTTTTTAAGAGCAAAACACAAGCATCACACAGTTTACATGCGCAAGTCTGAGTAAGACTGATGAGCTCGGGAGCTGGTTGAACATTCCTTCTCAGTGACATCCAGATACATTGGAGACTAAAGTGCTCCTTCAGCATAAGAATGTATAGACTGGATGGTGTGTACAGAATAGAGCCAGACTAGGCATGCTCTCCCTGAGCTTTCTGCCTTTTTTTCTTCAACTACCTGAACAGCATAAGCAGTAAATACACTGCAACACCCCAAGGAGCAATTTAGCAGAACTATTAAGCAAACATCATAAAATGTACACCAATGCCTTCAAGGTACAGTCTGACTCATAAGCAGTGGTACAGAGAACACTCCTCCCTCCCTCCAGCTCTTCCCTCTGAATCAGTACCAGGAACTCAATAACAGATCCTATGTCAGTGTAAAGCCTTCCAGTGAATTAACTAGTCACAGATTGGCAGTAAATTAAAGCAATGGGTAATTTGACAAGATAATTTGCTTTTTAATATGCCACATGACAGATTTGCATGAGGGAAAAAAAAAAACAACCAAGAGAGTATGTTCTACACAAACAAGACTGGGGGAGTGAAAAGAGGAGAACAGGAAGGAAAGAAAAGAGAAATCCCCTTTTCCTCAAGCCAGTAGCTTAGTTTTTAGTCAGTCTGCAATGTTCTCAACTCCCTGTTCTGCAGACGGAATCTATCTGGCATGGATGAGGCTCTTCAGTTCTGCCCTTTAAAAAGCTTAAGTGAAAGAACACACTACAAACATGAACCTTGATCTTAAAGGGCTACTGCTCTGATATTGAGAACATGATGAACATGACAGTGTAAAAAATAAAGTGGGGAACAAAATAAATCTCCTTTTCTGCTCTTTCACTGACAGCAGTTTCATAGCAGATACATTTGCTAGAAAAACATTTATATTAGTATTTCTCTTTACTCACTGATGACAACAGAAAACTAACTGCTTAGGAAGATAAATCCGATCACCTTGATCAATACATTCTATTTATTAAGATATTTCTCTTAAACTTGTGCTCCAAGTTTTGCAGATGAAATCACCTGCCTAAGATTTTAAATCCTGACATTCCACCTCCTTTCTGACAACTACACACAGCAAGACAGAATCATAGACTGGTTTGGGTTGGAAGGGACCTGAATCTAGTTTTAACCCCCTGCCACAGGCAGGGACAGCTTCCACTAGAGCAGCTTGCTCCAAGCCCCTGTGCCCAACCTGGCCTTGAACACTGCCAGGGATGGGGCAGCCACAGCTTCTCCGGGCACCCTGTGCCTTAGCACCCTCATAGTGAAGAATTTCTTCCTAAAGTCTCATCTTAATCTCTGTCAGTTTAAGGCCATTCCTCCTTGTCCTGTCACTACCTGTTCTTGTCAAAAATCCCTCTTCAGCTTTCTTGACGGCCCCTTTGGGTACTGGGGGGCTCCATCATCCAGCCTGTCTTTGCCTGTACCGTTTTTCTCCTTTGGTGCGGAGAGCTCAGGGTCCCCAGGGCCACGCTCCGCCCGTGCCTGTGCGGAAGGAGCAGCGGAACGTCCCGGGGGCGCAGCTTACCCAGGTTGTACCCGTAGGGCGACTCGGTGGCTCCGTCCTGCAGGCTGGCCAGGATCTCTCCCTTGCCCACGTCGCTGTCTCCCACCAGCAGGAATTTCAGCAGGAAATCGTAGGCTCTCGCCGGGCTTCCCGCGTAGCTCATCCTCCCCGCCGTTCCCCCGAGCCTCCTGGACGGATCAGCTCCCGCGGCCCATCCAGGGGCCCGGCGGGGCCAGGGCACAGCGGCGGGCAGCGGCGTGGGACGGCAGCGGCGTGGGACGGCAGCAGCATACCCGACTCTGGCGAGAATAGGGACCCGTGAGGCAGCGGCGCGGTCCCGTCACGGCAGCAGCGCCCGCCGCGCCATCCCTCGCCGGGCAACAGCAGCGTCAGCGGCGGGGAACGGCGGCAGCGGGCGTCGCGCTAGTGCAGAGCAGCCGCCTCTCCCCACGGAGCGCTTGAACCTCTCCGCGCAGAGCGCCCAGCACGGCCAGGGAACGCGGCGGAGCTGCGGGAGCCCCGTCGCACTCCTCCACCTGCCGCCCGAGCGCGGTCTGTCAGCGCGCTGCCGCCTCCCGCCGCCGCGGAGCTCTGACAGAGCAGCGAGCTCCGCCCCCGAGCCGCACTATTGGAAGATTCGTTTCTGCCCCCCGCCCTGCTCAGCTTTCATTGGACTGCGAAACTTTAGTCCCACCCCTCTCCCGCTTCTAAGAGGGCGCGACTATGTCCCGGCTTCGCCTATTGGTGCACAGAAAAGCACTAGCCCCGCCCTCCTCGGCTTCCATTGGAGGAAGGCAAACCTCGGCCATCCCCGTTCTCGTGGTCCTAGCGGGCCACAGCGGCTCAGTTGCTAGGGGACTCCAGGGCAGCCATTGGTTCCTTCCCCCATCAATCGTGCTCAATTGCACCGCCCCGCTGGAGGGTGGTTGGGAAGCAGCCGGTTCGAGCCCTAGCCCTGCTGACCGCACGCTGCGGGTTTGCCTCCGGGGTTTGCGGTAGCTGCCACGAATGCAGGCAGAGCACGGGGCCCGGACTCGGGTAGGATGGTGGAGAAACGGTGGGGGAAAGCCTGTGCAAAGTAATAGCCCTTTGTGGGCAAGGACCACCACCCGAACGGCACCACACAACCCTCTTGCAGAAGAAACACCTCAGCTGTAGCCGTAAGCCCTAGAAGTCACTCTGCACACCTGAGTCAGGTTTTTAGGATATTCATAGCCAGAAGAGATACGTTCTTTTTTCATCATATCGTCACCCGAGTTGGCTGGGTGATATCACATTCAAGCACCGCTCTGTATTTGTACAAAACAGGGATGCAGCTCTGATGGGATGGCAGTAAACCCAAACTCTCAGACAGAGCTGGTAATCCAGCCTGATGGTACAAGCTTGTAGATCCAATGCCTACTCTTAACAACAGCGCAAAACTCATACTGAAATGCAGCACGTAGGGAGCTGGGGGAAAGGGGTCACTCTTTCACTCTTCATGTGCCACTATAATAAATTCAGTGGATTTCTAAACCAAGGTGCAGCACCTCTAACCCCAGCTGTTGGGCCAGTGAGGAAAACTAAGTGACTGAACAAAGACTTACAGGAAAATCTCTTAAATCTTACCCTAATGTACATGTGTACTGCCTAAGCTCTAAATGAGACCCTTTATACCCTTGTAAAAAAAAAAAATCTTTTAAGAAAATTTTGTTAACCCTGAGTAACTCCTAAACCTGAAAATTTAGTAGTGTCAAACTGGTATAATAACATTTATATAAAGCAGACAGAAACAAACTTCAAAACTAGCATTGTATGCACAAAGTATCCCTTCACATAACAATTACAAGCTCATGAAAGGTCTTTATGTCCTCTCTCTACTGAGCCCCACCCCATGCATGCAATTTACCAAAAGTCCATCTAATTCAGAGGGGATAAAACCACCATATACATGGGACTTTGCATTATCTGCAACAAAACGTAAGACCTAAATTGAGAGAGATATGTCTATATATTTCAACTCAAAAGAAAAACAAGGAAGTCCTTGACTAATAAGGTCTGTCTGTATGCACATGATGTGATGCCAATTTACTGCTCCCTTAAAAAACCCTCAACCCTCTTCACATGCTTATTTTTATTTCAGGATTGCAAGGGCAGGCGTGAACTCGGGAATATCACTGGATCACTCCTTGGTAATTTTAATCTGTGCAAACACAGGAGTACAAAGTGTCCCACAGCACTTACCCATGGACATCGGAGCATCACATTCCCAGTGTCAGGCAATTTTCCCTCTGGGATACTCATGCATCCAGTAACTGCACCTCTCTATAATCCAGTCATCACTTTATGGAATCAAAGTCCTGTTGGAGATGGGATAATAAATTTGCAGCAATGCACTACAGTTTTAGTGCTGAAGGTCTACATACAAACAGAGAGAGGTGTTTATCCAGATATGTCACCTGTCAGAGCTTCTAGTTTGGTTTTGTATTTTGGACAGTCTAAATGCAGTTACAGTAGTCATCTGTACTCCTTTTAGTGCTCCTCTGTAGCAACTTTTAGACAGCTGGAGTAAAGCCTTGGGCACCAGGAAACATGAGCTCTAATCCTAGTTCTAACACAGACTTCCTTTAGAAACTTGGCCAGTTTACTCAGATTCTTTCTGCTGCAGGTTTCCAAGCTATCAAAGCCATTTGCTCCATCTATTACAAAGGAGTGTCACAGGATTTTAACCACAAATTTCAGTGGAGTGCTTTGAGATGCCTGAAATTGCACGTTTGATTTTTCCTAAAGTTCACTAAGGATGAGTTGAGAAAAACCTCAGCATTTTCACACCAATGAAGCTGGCAATTAAAGGTCATTTGCCCTTGTTTTTTAATAATAATAATATATATATATATAAAGAGTTTTTCAGTTGTTGAAAATGAAGAACTGATACTTTTCAAATGTCTGTTTTGATGCCACAAATAGCAGAATGCTGGAATGTTTCCACTTTCCTGAGTGTTTCCACTTATCTGACATTTAGATGTAATCAGGTTTAGAACAAAGCTGTGCCAAGCCCAGGTTTATTTTGAGGTCAGCTCATAGTTATACTTTACACAGGAACTAGTGAGCTAGAATATACCCACAAATCTTTAACCCATCACCTGTCTGAATATTAGAAAAGAAAAATGCATTTGCTAAATCACTTTTGAGCCCCAACCCACCTGGTTAAAGGAGAATTAATGACATGTATTTGCTCTTTTACTGTGCCATACAGAATTAGGCTAAACTCAGAACTGTAAATAATAATACCACCACCACTTTTCTGACCAAGGTAAAACAGACTCTTAAACAGCTATATTTATGGACACCTTCCCCTGCCCCCCTTTTTATCTTCACGAAGAGCACAGTTTCTTATTCATTAGTACCAGAATGATCCAAAACTTCAAACATTCTCCCTGAACTTCTTGCTAATGAGCAGAAATTTGTGAAAAACAAAACCCACTGGCAACCTGGCATAGTCTGTATCAAAAACTTATGAAGATAAAGCCTAACCAGTAACCTCTGGAAAAATATTCTCACTTGTTGCAGAAACAGAATCAGAGAACAAGTCCTTTGGCTTTGGTCACACTTTCATACAGATGCTGCCTAAATCATGGCCCTGAAATCACTACAGAAGCTGTTGAAAATTCATGAAGGCATTAACTCGGCAAATGAACAAACACACCCATGACTCTGATTCCAACATCCCTACATAATCAGAACAGTGGCCAAAATGTGTTATTTTTGTAATGGATTTTCTCATTTTATTTCCATTTATCTGCTCATACAGGTGACCTGAGTAATTTAAAAACCAAAAATAAACCAAAAACCCAATGTATTTTTCTCTCTCTTAGGCATATTATGTTGAAGAGAGAGAAAAACAAGCACTAACACCAAATAGCAATGAGTGTCTTGTAAATCATTCCACAATGGAAAGTCCTACATCCTTCCTGATCCACCCTCTTGGCCTAGCCATGGATGTGGGAGAGGAAAAAAAGACAAAAGAGCCCACGGCACACTTCTCATACATTCATACAAATAGCAGCTTGGAGCCTGAAAAGCCCTACTGCGTATCTTCCATTATATATATATATATATATACGTACATAATATATATATACGTATATAAAGCAGCCAATAAAAGGCTACACATAGCAATTACCTTTTCCCTTCTTGTACATACTGTCAGGCAGTAAACAGAAATTAGCAGCTGCAATGCTTTTTTATTCAGGATGTGTATATTAACTGATGACTCACCAAATAACTCACAGCCCAGCATGCCAGTTGTCTTCTCCTCCACAGAAAGAAACACTATTTTAAACAGGGGAGTTAACCACTGTGGATCTTATAGGCAAGCCAGTGTGCATTAGAACTAGATAAATACTGCTGGTGAACCCCAAGAGGGAAGAGGAAGGGGGTGGTTCCAACAACAGACTGCAAGCTTTTTAAACTCTTTGAATAGAAATTAAACTACATGGAGGGAAAGAGTGGAGGCAGGAAGAAAATATTATCTCATAATCAACCCACACCACCTTTTGTGGTACACACTGCCTTCACACAGCAGGCAAGACCTGCACGGCATGAACTGCTTCAGCATATGGTTACATTTCTTTATGTAGTGCTCTGTACGCACATTTGGGGCTTCACTCAAGCGTTTATTTCAAATGGGGAACGGCAATCTATGGCACAAAGGGCAAAGATGGCATGCAGCAGGATTAGGGAGGGCTTGGAGCTGGGACTTGCGCTGGAAAGGGCATCTGTGAAGAAGCAGCTCCCAAATCCTCTCTCTCTCTCCAGTGCCTGCAGGAGTTGGGAGCCCCAAAGCTCCAGCTAAAGAATGCTCTGCAATGTCTTTAGGAATACAATGTCTTGTGGGTCTTGACAAGTTTCTTCTAGAAGACTTAACCTCTAATTTGGAAAGCAAGCTGACACTTCCTCCTTCAGATCACCATGTAATTAATTGTCCACCATGTAATTAATGAGCTTGACATTACAATTTTGGCCAACTTCTGTTACATCCTATCTGATTAGATGTCATCAGAAAGAAGTAAAAACCAATTAAATTCTAGGGAAATAAAGGCAATTGCTCTGTACTCCTACAACATTTACTGTGCTATTCTTTAGTGCAGCATGAAAAATTTATTTACTGAGAGTACAGAATATTCTACTACAACTTTGTATTTGAAGACCGAACCATACATTTCATTCCATTTCAACTCCATTTAATCTACTTAAATTCTGATTTGTTTTTTATTGCTTTGTCAAAAGATGAAATAAGTAACTGGATATGGAATTTTCCAAAAGTTACAGAAGTGTCATTTAATAAAAATGTGGGGTGTGAATTCTTCCTAATATTGTAGTTCTTTAAAAACTACAAAATGAGAGAGCAAGTATCCTTTGTGTCCAAATGGACATTATTCCTTTGCTCTCCGAAGAAGAAAGAAGGTGCAAGAAAA